AGCCGCGGCTCCGCGCAGATGCGCCCGCTTCCGTGCAGATGTGGCGGTGGCCAGCGCTCGCCAGCGCCGCTGCCTCGCTCCTGCGGGGAGCCCAGAGGCGGCACCTCCCCCTCCCCACGGGCTGGGGACCCCGCTCCCCCGCCCGCAGCCCCCGGGCGCCCCCGGGCTGCCCCCCAAGCCCAAGAATGGTTCGGTCCACAGCCTCATCAATGTTTATTCTGCGAGCGCGGGTCCCACTCAGTCGCTGCCACTCCCTCCCCCTCCCGCCCCTTGCAGTGGCCCGGGGCCAGCCCCGCCTCCCCGCGCGTCAGCCAACTGCCGCCCAGCTGCGGGGGCCTCATTTGCATTTCCGGGAGCGGCGCCCAATGGGCGCCCGGGGCCCCACCCCCTCCAGCGGGGCGGTGCTCCCGGTGGACTGCACCACTCCGGGGACCCCAGCATGGGGGAGCCCGTCCCGGGGTCCTGGAGCTCGGAAGGTCTTCCCTCCAGGCAGGTCGGGAGTTCAGTGGAAGAGGGGGTTCTGGCCCTGGAAGAGGCCCAGCAGCCCGCTGTCGGGGGCGGGCTCCCTGATGATCTTCTGGATCTGGGGGTGAGGAGGTGTCAGCATGAGTCCAGGGTCTCCACCTGAGGAGGCTGCTCGGGTCAGCTGGACAAGGCCATCATCCCTCTCCCCAGACTCCTCCACCAACGCCTGGGTCAACTCCTCACCATGGGCTGGGGGTGGGTGGAGAGCCTGGAGGGTGACTGCAGTCCTGGGGGGGCTTCTTAAGTGGGCTCTCAAGTTCGGGGGTCACGCTAAGGCCGCCCCCCAGGCCTGGGTCCCTCTGCACCGCCCACGGCCACTGTGCCTGTGCAGGCCACAACGCCCCCCACGGAGTGAGCCCCCACCCAGCTCCGCTAGGTGCTTGGGGGAGGGGGGCGCTGGAGGCAGCTGCGGGGGGGAGGGGGTGGAGGGGGGGACCGGTACCTCCTTGAACTGGGGGTGCGCAGCGTCTTCCACCAGCTGCAGGATGAGCCCCTCGCTGGTGGAGAGGAAGGCGCCGCTCTGGCGCATCCGGGACAGCGCCACCAGCCTGTCCACCTGGCTGCGGGGGAGGTGTGCGGGTCTCAGCGCTGGCGGACACCCGCTGCGGGCGCCCCAGGACCCACCAGCACCCAGGGGGCTGCTCACCTGCGTGAGGAGCAGGCGTCCACCACCACGTGGACCTGCAGGCCCCGCTCCAGGAGGTCCAGGGCCGTGTTCTGGGGGCAGGGAACGGTCAGGGCCACTCCCACAAGAACTGGGGGTGGGCGAGGGGGACGGGTCAGGTGACCCAGGATGGGAGCCCGGGAGCAGAGGGAGGACGCCCCCGGCCAGCAGGCCCCCAAGGGCCACTGGGGGCCCTGGGTCGGGCAGCAGGGCCGCGTTAGGGTGGCACAGTGCCTCGAGGGCTCGCGGGCTCACCAGGATGCAGGCCTGGGCCTCGATGCCGCAGAGCAGCGCCGAGCACAGCTGGGGGCGCGCCTCCAGCTCTGGCCGCAGCGGGGGCACCATGCTGAAGCAGGTCTTGGGCACCGGCCTGAGGTCCTGCGCCCCCAGCTCAGGCACTGTGGGGCCGAGGCCTTGGGGGTACTGCTCCGTCAGCACAGCGGGCACCCCCAGGAGCCGGGCCACCTGTGTGGGAGGGGGGAACAGAGACCTGTGCTTGAGGAAGGGAGCCGCGGCCTGGGGGCGAGGGGCGGGGCAGAGGCTGCGGCCAGCCTCTTGATGGGGGCTGACCTTGAGCATGCGGGCTGCCACGGACACGATCTGGGGGAAGTAGGCGACGTTGCGGAACTTCTCCTGCATGTCGCACAGGAACAGGATCGTGGATCCGGGGTGGACTCGGCCCAGGCCAGGCCTCAGGGCTGCCATGTCCGGGGGGCAGGGCGGGGCGAGGCAGCCTGCACACCCAGGCCAGGGGCTCAGCGCAGACCTCGGCCAGCCCCCCTGCCGCCCTGCCCTGTCCCGCGCTTTCCTTCCGGACCCCTGGGCAGGCGCGACTGTCCCTCGGAATGCCCTCACACCCTGTCCTGTCCCACACCTGTGTGCTTCTGTGACTTGGGCCCCGAGGTGATGGTGTGGGGACGGGGCCTGCCTGGGGGAGCCGGTGTTCTGAGCCAGGAGTGGGAAGGCACCGACCAGGGGCAGCTCTGGGTCTCTGTGCCTGACCACATTAGCAGAGAAGGAAGGAAGGACTCGGAGCCAGTGTCGGGAAAGAGGTCTTTGCCGGAGACCCCTGTGGCAGCCCGTCTGGGCCCGGGCTGGGCTCCGGCTGCCCGGTCGAGGGGGCCCAGAGGGGCAGCATGCCAGAGTCAGGCCAGCTCTCGGCTGCAGCCCTCCCTCCGGGTGCCCACTCGCCTGCTCTGTGCTTCGTCTGGGCCCTCCAGACCCACCAGCTGGCGCCCCACCCAGTTTCTGGGGTCAGAGGACGAGTGGACAGTCATCATGGGGCTTCCACTGCCTGGTTCTCTCAAAGAGAGACCACCAAAGACCCGGGAGCTTCCTTGAGCCCCAAACCGCAGAGTGACAGTGCCCCTGGGCAGGGGTGTGTCTCCAGGAGCCGAGACTTTAGACCGGCTGTGTGGACGGCCACCGGCCATCGTGGGCGCTATGCCAGGCTCCCCAGCCCAGACTTCTCTCCCTGTGGGCCAGCCCCCAGGCCTGACCTCAGGACCTTTCCACTCAGAGTGTCCACCTCCTGGAGGCAGGGGCAGCGGGTTGGGGCTGGGTGCACCCGGGGAGAGCCAAGTGGCCATCAGACCTCTGACACAGAGCACTGCCCCTCTGAGGGCAGCCCGCAGCTGCCCAGCAGGCTGGCTCAAGGTCACCCAGTGTCACCGGCAACAGCACCGGCAGCGCGAGTGGCAGAGCTGAGTGGCCTCCCGCCAGGGACACGGGTCAGCTGGAACCACGGTGAAGAGTGTCCAGGAGATGTGGGCGGAGGGGTGGGTGAGGCAGGCGCGAGGGGTGGGACCCGTGGGGCCCTCACGCAGGCGTGGTGGCGGGACTGCACAGCGCGCTCACCCGAGGAGGCCAGCGGGGCCGGCAGACCAGGCCGGTCCGGGCAGCCACTGGTGTGTGGGCCAGGGCCCCGGGCGGGCGCAGCTTCTTGGCGGGGGAGCTGCTGGCCCCAGTGGTGACAGTGACTGGCGATGTGACACCTGTGCACCAGCGCGCAGGTGACCTGCGCCGCGTGTGCGCGCTTCAAAGTTTTCAAGATGGGAAAGAGGCGGGGCGGCCGCGCTGGCTGGTGTGGACTGGGCCCCGGGCGGGCGCGGAGCATCCCAGGTGTCCGCTGCGTGGAGGCAGCAGCGGAGGGGATGGGGGCGGGAGGCGGCGCGGTTTCGGGAGAGAAAGTTTGCCAGAAACGAGCCAGGTGTGGGCAGGCCAGCGGCTGGGCACGACGCGGGGGGCAGCGGCTGGACAAGACTGGGCGGGGCGCCGCGGTGTCTCCAGCGGGGCCTCGGCCCCGCCCCCCGCGGGGGCAGTCTTACCCGGAAGGCGCCGGGACGGAGCCGAGAACGACTCTGGGCAAGTGAGGCGGCCGGTCACTCACCTCACGGCGCTGGGCTCGGGCCGCTTGTCCTCCGGGTTCCCAGGCGGGGTCACCGCTTCTCCCGGTCGGTGCCCGGCCGTCCTCGTCCCACCCCTCCCGGCCGAGCCGCCCAATCGGCGCTCTTGCGACTTTGTCCCGCCTACCCATCCGACCAATCCTTGGGCGCTTCTGCGTCGGTCAGTCCCCAGGCCGTGATTGGCCGGCTGGGGCCGGAACGACGGCGCGCCCGACCAATGGGGGAGAGCAGGCGCGAGCGTGCGACTGCGGGGCGGAGCCCTGGAGGCCTCCGTGGCCCGGCTGCTGGCCGGAAGTAGCCGGGAGCCCGGCGCCTGGCCGTGCGCGGAGGCTCCTGAAGGGGGAGCCAGAGCACCAGCAGGTGCAGGGGGCGGCACCCGGGGGCGGGCCGGAGCCGAG